AGCCACGAGCAAATACATCCGTTGAAATTAGCAAGCGACTAAAATACATCAAAAGTACAAAAAAAAGATGAAAAAAATATGAACGGATTTTACAAAAATTTCGATCTTTTAAGTAAAGCTACCTTGCGCCACCGCGAAACTGCTTCATCACTTCGTCACGCTCTTTCTGCTCCATTTCACCATGAATTGCCGAAACCGTAAAGTTTGCTTCCTTCAGTTTTTCTGTCATCCATTCCACCTATTGTTTATTCATTCATTTACAAACAAACCAAAATTAAAAACAGAAAAAAATCAAGTTAGGGAACTTAGTTATGCATGACTGAACTGAATCTTGCCTGCGCGAACTAGTTCTTGGACAAATGAATGAATTTTTGCACGAATGAACAAACCTCAGTGAAAAAATTAAGCTAAAACTTATTATTCGAAAAACTTATGACTTCAAACTTATGATTCGAAAAATTCATGATTCGAAAAACCGGCCATCGTTATTCCTGTTATTTCCGGGAACACAAAATTTTTCTAACCTTTCTACGAGTATTTACGAAGATGACTGCCTGGGTGATTGTAAGCGTATCGTATAAATCACAGAGTGTATCAAATTTCCATTCTTCGCGATCCACTGCCACAAAAAATTGCTTAATTCCTTCCAGTGTCAATTCATCACTGCAACAATACACCACTATCGAAAAAGGAAGCAAAAAAATGCCATAAATTAACAAATATTTCATCAACAAAACATCAGTTTTTCTGTTAAGTTCTTCAACGAAACGTACCCGTTGTGGGTAAAATACCTCAGAACCAAAAATTTCACTCAGAAGTAAATAAAAACTCGAGGAGGATGATGAAGAGGCTGGAATCAATCGACAGTAGCACAACCTACCGCCATTTCGCATTGGCAATAATATTAAACTATCACCATTTCTAATTTATACCATTTTTTAGCGAATTAACTTTAAATGCACTTTTACCATTTGTTTTAACCTTTTTATATTCTCAAAATTCCCCTTTTTCTTTTTGACACTTTGCATGTTATTTTTGCTGCAACCGTCACACTGACGAGGTGCAGTTGCTGCACTGAACAGGAATGTATGCGACTTGATGGACCGAAACAATCCTTATTCAGGCTTTTTAATCCGATTTATCTTATTCACCTTCCTTTTATTCCTTCCTTTTTAATCCTTACTTTTTACA